TCCCCCCCCCCCCCCTCCCCCCGCCCGAGATAGAGGGCGATAGATGGTTCGGTTAGGGGAACAACCACAGGCGGTTCGAGGAGGCTCGAGAGGGCGTTCGGGAGGAGTAGGAAAAGGGGTAGCAGAGAGGATGAGAGTACGAGTCGCGAAGGTCTCATTTCCGCCGGAAACAGAGGTTCCCTCACCCTTGCTGCGAGTTACCCTCCCTTCTTCTCTCTTGTCTCGTCCAGATGGCGGCAGAGTCCAATCGAATTAAATACATTCCCGAGGATCGTCCAATCGACGACCTCCGGTGGTGGTATTTGTCTGGTAGTTGTTCTGCCAATACCACTGTCATTTCTTTCGCCAAAGTCTCCCTCTCGCTGCCCCCGCGCCGCAGATGCATCCACAGCCACCGAATAATTTACTCGTTTTTGCTGCTTCTTTTTACCAGCACGCTAGATCGTAGCGGGCAGCGAGTATATCGAAAATTCATTAAAGCCCCGTGTAATTGGGTCGAGAAAGAGAACCGCCGCTGACCCTTCGCATGGCTCCTTTACGCTCCGCTCTCGCCGAGATAATTTTATTTCGAACGCTCGATGATTTCACGTGTCGATACGTTTTCGTCCACGTCACGAGGACGGCCATGGCCGACCCGCAAGAAACCAGGCATCCTCGCTACTTTCTTTTCGCCCACGATTATTTCGCCGCGGTACATTTTCCGCGGAAATGGAAAAACCGGCGAAAGAGTCTCCGCGGTATAAGCGTATTTCGAATAGCCGTGGAATCGAAGCGCTCCCGCTAGTTGTACGTTATATTATTTAAAAAAGTTTCCCTGCAGGGAAGACCATCCATTATCTGAGGCTCCGATAAATCCGCCAAGGCGTTCTCTCTCCTTGTGTGTTTGGCGGATATATCAGGGTTTCCTCGTCCCGTCGCTGTCGCATCGCCTCTTCCCTGCGTTTCCGCTCTTCACTTTGGAATCGACGGGGGGTTACAAGAGGCAGGATCGGTAAACTCGATAAATTGCAAGATTTTTCCCTCGGCCGATCGAAGCAGCGCCTCGTGGCGCCCTCTCACCCCCTCCGAATTATCGCGGCAACTCGCTCGAATTCGCGCGAAACGTTTCGTATTCATGCAACGTTAAATGCAAATTCACGCAGTCCTTGATTATCTCGCTTTCAAGGTGTCCACGCTATAAATAATCTCGTCGTTAATAATAATCGATATTCTCGTTGCGTGGCCGATTCAACCTGATAATAACTATTATCGTTAATAGACGACTCGTTATACGACAATTACGGGGCACGCTTACGGGGCAACTTTAAATTCCGTTGCAAATTAAATCAAGTAAACGGATTGCTATCGATGTGCGAATTTCCCATCGACCCGCCTCTGCTGTGCCGATCGTTTCGAATAAATTCGCGAAAACTATCGCGAGATAGAGGTGACACGTAGTTGGGCGAATGTAAGATTCCTCGTTCGCTCGGACGTCGAACGTTTGCTATGCGCGCGTTGCAGATTGCATTCGGGGTTATGGTGGTGGCAGGTCGCCTAGACAGGCGGTCGTAGAGACGGTAAATCCTGGTTAAATCCGGAGAAAAAACAAAAGCTACGGCGAGCGTTAGAGGATTGTGACGGCTGCTACTAACACCCTCTGTTCTTTCCCTTTTCGTCGAAGATTCATGCGCGCGTGCCTTTCTCGGAAAATTCTGTCGGAACGGCGATTATCGTGCGCGATGGCCGGTTTAATTTTTCTCACCACCGACGACGCGTCGCGACCGTCTCTGGCGAAAAGGTGCGAAAGGGAAGGAGAGAATTAGCCGTATTTCGACGCGTTCCAATTGTCCGCTCGGGAAAGTTATTTGCACGAGGGAGTCCGCAATCAGGGGTTGGAAATCTGAACGCGGAAGGTGGACGGACAGTAAGTGGAGCATTAAGTTGGAAATTTCGGAACACGACGTACACGGACGGGCCGCGTACACGGTATTCTTGGTGGACGAGTCCGAGAGCACTCGATAGGCTAAGTAAATCAGAGGCCTTTGGTCAAGAGTACAGCCTCCACTCCGTTTAGGGTAGGAGTTAAAGGGGGTTGGCGGGTGATGAAGGAAGAGGGTGCAATAGTGGTGGCAGGAGCAACAAAGGGTTGGCTAAGAGCTCTTCACCGTCCACTCGCTCGCTTTCTCCAACCACCGAAGCATCACCTACTTCTCGCTGCAGCCAGGCTTGCTTGCCTCGTGATGTGATTGCTACCGAAATGTGTTTACCGTAAACCGTATCAAACTGTCGACCGTCCACCATCGTCGTTACCGTCTATCTTTTCCGCGTGGTACACCGATAAAAGTACGCACCTCTATCGATTCGCGTCGGCCATGGAACGTCGCGTCCGCGTCCGCGTCCTCGTCCTCGCCATCACCGTCGGGCCGCACGGAGGAGCTTTGAAACGGCCCTTTTACCCTTTGTCCCTGCCGCCAGGTTAGAAGTTCTCGCGCAGGCTAGTAAACGCTGCGGAAACAAGTTTGCCTTTTGCGTCTTGTAACGTAGTTATTTCCCAAGGATCGCCTTTCTTTTCTTTTCTTTTCTCTCTTTCCGCCTTCTTTCCCCTGTTTGCCCCGTTAAATGGTAATTAAGGCGAACGCTGAACGATAACGCAATTTCTTTCTACTTTGCTTTTGCTTTTTACCGAGGATAACAATTTTATTAAAATCACCGTACTATGTAAAGTCATCGTTCGAATACGACGTACAATCAGTAAGGGTTTTGAACCATACTGCTGGACCTGCTCTTGTAGCACGTCTTCCATATCTCGAACAGGCATATGGCGGAATGAAACCGATAGAATATAGCCAGCGGCATGGACACGTGCGTGATGATCGTCCATGCCCAGACGCCGAAGAATCGCAGATGATCCGGACGTACCCCTGCCCGAGACTTCTCCAGAGTGTTCACCGTCCACAGGGCGATGTTGACGACGATCAGGAAGGTGATGAGTTCCTTGCCAGGCTTGTTGTTCCTCGAGCAACGTCTTCCCCACGCGATCTAGAAATTCGTGGACAACGGGAGGAAATATTTATTCCCGACGAAATTCTCCAGTACGAAAGCGAACTCTTACTTTGATGAGCAACGTTTGGCTCGTGCTCTGCACCAAAGCCAACAAATCCGTGATCAGAGATAACACCCAAGTCGGGCCCATTGTCAATACATCACCGACCACCCCGAACAGACAATGCAGATAGACCCCGGCTTGAGCCGCGGCCAACAAGGTCGTATCCAAGTCCGATGGCTTGATAATCTTCTGCTGCAACGCTTCCAACTTGGACGTCCCAGCGACCGAGGCGATCATACCTGTAGGATCGAGGATCGTTTCTTTGGATCGAGCACGTGACAGGGAAATATCGGAAATATTACCCAACACGAGTATGGTCGCGTCCAACGCGGTGACCTGCACGATCGCGATCTTCATCTTGGCCTCCTTCAGCACGAAGAACATGATCAAGCTCAATATCGTCGCGGCGACGACCATGATCCCGCCGAAGAGACCTCTGGAAAGGCCGGTAAGAAAACGCCGAATGGAAACAGTCTTAAAATCTCAAGGATATCGCATTAACAAATTAACGGGGGATCCTATCGATTTAATTAAATTCCCCGGCTGACCTGTGAGAGCTACTGCAATCTATGCTAAGGTGATACGAAGATCTCGACGGGGTCTCGCTATTTGCATCCTTCTTCTCGTCCACCCTCTTCCACATCTCGAACAGTATCACCGCGCAAATTAAACTGAATTCAATTGTGCACGGGAAAAGGAACGGGCTGGCGTCTCTGAGCAGCGACGCGAGGATCCCGGCTTCGTCGTCGTGCGTGTGGCCCAGCTGATCGATCTCGTGTTGCGTTTCCTCGACCAACGCCTTGGCAAACAAACGGAATGCCTGAGGACGCGTGAAAAATTCACGACGACGACGCACGCGTACGAACGGCCGGAAACAACGGTGAAAGCATTGGCTGCCGTGACGGAATCGTTGCCGCGTCGCGCCGCGAGTTGGAAATGGTCCTGGCCGTGTGGATGAGCGACTGCCTCGATTTTCCCGGGAAACGGGATCACGGGTCGAGGTGTCGCTTCTGCTTGGGACACGCGTTTCTACGAATACGGGAATAAACAGCGCGTTTGGCTTTGATAAACGGCGAACGCGGATAATCGACACCGACCGCTGGGTCCGAGCTAAAGGTCATCGAAATGCTGGCTGATGCTCAAAGCGATGTCCCGATTCCCGGTGGTGTGTTCTTTTCCTTTTATTCGATTGGGTTATCAGTCGGAATGTTTGCTACTGTTTTCGGACATGGAGATACTCGATAACGATGACGAGCAAATTGACTCGGATAACAAATAGAGTCGCGGAACGGGGTTTTGTTTTCGATTCACTTTTCGGGTAAACACGGTAGATAACGTGTATCGGGTTGTCCAAACACACTTGTTCCCGCAATGAAAAACGCTCCTGTTTTATTCATCGGTTCGACGTACCTGCAGCCACTCGCAGAGGTTGGTCGCGATCATGTGCATCAGGCCTAACTTCGCGAGGGCAGTGTGCTTGGCCAGGCTGAGACTTTTACTGTTCAGAAATATAAAGTGCATCTGAGCCGTGACTAGCAGCAGCCTGGCACCCGGTGTAATCGCCCTGAACGGGCCGGAAGCTATTTCCGCCCCAATTTGCAATCCCGTAAATACCAACGAGCCAGCGCCAAATCCCACCGCGCCGAGTCTCAGACAAAAGCTGCCGTACTGTTGCGTCTGGGGAACAAAGATTTCATTGTACGCGTGCTGCGTGCCCGAATGCCACCCGCTAATTAGAAAATACCGAACGATCCGCGAATTTTACGCCGCGCGAAAATGCTTTCGTAGAAATTATTCAATGGCCCGGCACCCGGTGTGACGAGTAATTGGCCCGCGATAGTCAACAGTTGCGCAGGTCGGGACACCTGAAAGGGATCGTACCCGATATCGTCTCTCACGCTTTGTCAAAGACAAACACTCGTGGTTGCCAAGAGGTAACGACGACCACGACGATCACGGCCACGCGAGCCTGATTCCCGGTTCATTTTAGAGGCGATTAAATATTTTCCACGAGCAAAGTTTACCTGACACTGGTTCACGCGATCCCCGTTCTCGTCCAATTTGTACATTTGCTCCTTCTCGTTTTTTCCCCTCCGATTCCACACCGCTTTGTCCCGCAGCACGAACACGTGCATCGAGATCACGAACGTCACGCTCACCAGGTACAGATACAAATAGAAGCCCTAAACAATCGCACGGGGATTTTGTTTATCGGATCGATATCGATTGCAAGCAGAGGGAAAAATCGAAATACTCGCGTCGCACCTGTTTCAAAGATGCTGGAACTCTCTCGGTGACGCTGGCCGTGATCGGCACCGCTAGTCCGATCACGATCAACAGCTTGGCGTACAGGCTACTCATGATGGACACCATTTCCGCGTGGCACTTTCTCTTCTCCGTGATCCGTGGCATTTGCTCGATCATCTGTTGCTTGGCTGGCGCAGGAAATTTTCGACCTGGTCCCATCTCAATTGCTTCGAGCGTGTGCGCACTCTCGTAAATAAAAACTCACTCACCTCTGGCCGGATCTAGCGCGTTCACGGGCACGTAAGCGGGGCTGACAGGTGACAATGGTAGGAAATTGGGTCGCTGCTTTTGCGCCTCGTGATCGTATTTCTCCGGATGATTGTTTAACAGGGGCGTTTTGTATCCTACCATTTGACCGGTTAAAAATTCGTGATCCTGCGGCATGCAGGACGGCAGCGACATGTTGCTGCCTATCCCTGAAATCAACGCGCTATCGAAGAGGAATGAGTGCCATTTGGCGCGTGGCGTTGATAGGGTTGGAGACAGAGGCGGTGTTTCGAGGCGATTAAAACGTACAGAGCGCGATTTCAGTTCGCGTTCATAAAGGACCTGGAAGGTATTTAACCGTATCCAACCGCCCGATTTCGCGTCAATACACCCGACGAAATAAATTCAAACGAATCGGTGAACCGTCACGTCGAAAATATTTCGTTCGAAAACTGAATTCAATGATCGTAAAATTATACGCTTTTTGCGTTCCCGTGTTTCGCGTTCACCACGCGAGACCCTATAATATTTTAGCTTCGCTACGTTATTAATGCCGGGAATGATTAAATCGGTCGCGCGCGGTCCACCTGTATTTCTATCGAGCGTACGTTCATATGTATGAGCAGCGTATCCGGATGGAAAATATCCGCAGGGAAAATTAGAAAACGAGAACTGGTATTACCCCAGAAGGCCCCGTCGATGGTTGATAACGGCAGTCAAGGACATGCTTTGTCTCCGTGGATGCGACATTCTTCCTCGAGGCGACAACGGGTAGTCTTTTCCATCAGCCTCCGACGATAGGGTTATCGGTGACTGCGTATCGCGATTCTTCGACTCGCAACTTTGTATTTTCCCCAATTTTTGCCGTTTCCCAGCGGTTCAACCACGTGGTTATACGGAAAAATGCAATTTTTCGATCAGCATCTTCGCGTGGTACGTAGACCGACGTACGTTATTAGCAGTTACTCACGTGGTCGTTATATTCGATTGACTATTATTCATAGTCTGTCGGCGTTGTCCTTTCGATGGATGAATAATCCGCGCTGTGAACGATCGGCAGCGTCTAAATATCGGAATAAAAATAAATCCGGTGACGCGTGCTTTTTCCGCTTCTATTATTTTCCAACGCTATTATAGAATTCACGTAACACCCGACGCACGGTTAAGAACTTCTTTTCCCCCTTTCTTTCCGCAAACGTTGCGTAACAATCGTTTCGGTTTATTCACCGGCAATGCGTCAAACTTTCCAGCTCCTTCCAGGGTTGGATAAGCTCGGCGACGCCGTATTTGCTCGGCTGTTCTCGCGGCGAAAACTTGGAAATTTATTCCCGGGGAAAATTCGCTCGCGTTTTGAATTTTTAGTAGGCTGGCCAACTTCTTTCCTCGCCGCTCAGCCTCGTCGCGTTTAAACGGCCGCGACAAAAGCGATTGCTCGCGTCGATCGTCCACGAGTCGGTGCATCCTCGCATCCGAGAAATCCTTCCAATTATCGCCACGCATCTCCACTTTTACCCCCTTTCTACTTCTCCGACCCCTAAAATCCTCGGCGACCCAGCCAACGAACGGATCCCATTCGCGACTAATTTTTCCGACGAAACTCCCTGCAACTTGTTCCTTGTTTTCGCTCGTTTAGAACGCGAAACTCCGAGACGACGACGACGACGACGACGACGACGACGACGACGACGACGACGACGGCGAGGCGAGCTCGAAAGTTGCACTTTATTGAAGGCGATTTCCGACTTTGTGCCCGCCGCGCAACACTGACACTGTCGCTCTCGTGTAACCGGACCAACTTCGCCAACTTTCGTTTGAATCGCGTTAAACGAATCCCGGTGAACTGTGTGACGCTATCGGCGCGTCACTCGGGTAGAAACGCTCCGCGAGAGACCGAGGCTAGGCGTGGTAATGCCATTGGTGTTACGCATACTGCCAACTATTCTCCACGCCGTGAATCGCACAAAAGCCACTTCGAGCACGCCTTTGCGGAAGGTAAGCGCTTTCATGCGTCCGTCGACGGTGCCTCGTTGCGTTGTCGTCACGAAATTTCTAACGGCGAGTGTCTTTTGTAGCCCGTCAACTAGTTTCGCGAGCGTAATTAGGTTTCGGGTGTACATATATGTACCTATATATGTACATCGGGTATACGTAAGTGACGTTTAATGCGACAGACGAAAGGTCAGTGGAATTTAGATTATTCCGGTGGAAAAGTTGCCGATGCTTGGTTTTTCGCACACAGTGGTCCGACTCGGCGGACGAACGATCGAAACGCGATGCATAATACAACAGAACGCGTTATTACCTTTCACGTTGACAAATTAGCTGATACCGTTCCGAAACGCTGCAAGCTGTCGCTCACGATTAGCCGACGAGGACGAAGGACGCGCGTGTGAAACGAAAAATCTGGTCCGCGTATACCTACGCGAGCACTCGCGTCCCTTTTTCGCGATTGCCAATCACGGATCGTTGGGCGAGGATCGTTCGATCAACCCTGACACTGGTCGTGGACGCGGTCGCGCGTAGCTAGGATTCGCTCGCGTCTCGCGCGTTTCTGACCCGACTACTCGGATTCGCGACGCTTTGACGCAAATATCGCGACAAACATTCGGTGTCGTGGCGAAATTAGCGAGAGACCGCGAGAAACGTCGGGACACGGTATCGCGAATCTCGCGGAAAACACGGGAACGAGCGTGGAGATCGTGCATGATTAATGGCGGCCGGTTTAACGACGACGCGTTCGTCGATCGATATTCTAAATGGATGTAACTCGTAACCGTTCGATTGTTTATTTATGCGGAATATTTCGGGGCGGCGATAACGCGGCTGTCCGAGCCGGTATTTGCATTTGTATTGCTTGATTACCTGAGAATTCAATTTCTGGGCGCAGTTTTAGGAATAATCGAAGCAAGAAATCGCGCCGGCCGTTCGACCAACCGTTCCCGAACGCGTGCAATAAATTTTCATCGACGATGGACGACGATGCAACCACTCGGGACGAAGGATCGCGAGATTATCGAGCGGCGGATCGCGGTCCGAGGATCGTTGCGAAACGAGTGCGCGGATGGAATTTGCGTTAATCGGGAAACGTGTAATCCGTATCGAGGCGGACGTCGGCACGCCGATACGTTCTCATAAGTGGCACCAGCCAGGATTCTGCATAATTTTACGAGACTTCTGCCCGCGGTTCGGCAGAGTTTATAGGGCGATTTTCTCCGGCGTAATCCGTACAAACGAGCCGGTTAAGTGGAGTATAAACTGTTAATGAAGCCAGTATCATCATCCACGCGGAACGCCTCGGTGTATTTGCCGGAGCAGTTCGAAAATTTAGACCGTGCCCGCTAAAAGACACTAATTGTAGGCGCAGCCGATAATAGTTAGTACCTGCAGCCTAATTACCGCCTCGATGCGAACGTCGATCGATTCGACAAAATCCGTGATTCGCATCGGCTCGTCTCGTTGTCCTTGCCGCTTTTCGCCCCGTGTCCGTCGCGGCTAATCGACTGATAACTCTCATCCCCTCTCGACCTCACTCTCCCTCTCTCTCTCTCTCTCTCTCTGTCGTTTTCTCCGCTCGACAATCGGACATCGGAGATTTTACGATTATTAACGACGATCCGGGGGAGAAAAAATCGCGTTGGAAGCTTTCTCTGGTTTCCATCGCTTTCCGTGATGAAATTGCGCGGAAAAAAGGGACAGAGTGGAAGCTGGAGCAAGGAAAGGATCAAAGAGACCGCGAAGCGGTGCACGCGCGAATTCGACTCCCAATAGAATTCAGATTGACGAGAATAATTCCGCTAGATCCGTCGGTTTGACGGCGACGTGGCGATGAATAGTAATGCCCGGATTAGATACGGTTCCAGTTTAATAATCACATTTTACCTCGACTCTGGGGGACGCGAACTCTGTGGCCTGTGGTCCCTGACGAAGTTGGAAAAAAGCCTGAACCGAGGTTCGAGCTGCGTTCGAAAAAGTCGGCAGATTTCGACGTAAGTTCGTTCGTCGATATATTTCGCGCGAGTCGACAAAGGGTATCGCGGAAAGCGACAATGGAATCGGCATGGCGGCTAGACGGAGCACAGGTGAGGCTGAATTCTCGACAAGGTCGGTAATGACGCGAACGGTCCTAGCAGGACGACGAGCGATCAATCGAAATCGTGCTTGTTGCTGCCTATCCGACCTGCGACCTCTTCGTTCCTCGATTCTCTCCTGTCTGTCCCTGGCCCCTTTCTCTCTTTCCCACCCTTTCCTTTTCCTCTACCCCCCTCTCTCTCTCTCTCCCTCTCACTCACTCTCTCACTCTCTCTCGGTCTGTCGACGCCGCTCGGGCCAAAAAAAAATCTCTCTCTCTCTCTCCCCCTCTCTCTCTCCCTCTCTCTCTCTCTCTCTCTCTTTCTCCTCTCGCTTTTTCTCGTCTTTTATTTCTCGATTATCGCCGGCGGCCAGACGATGCGCGGAAATTTTGGAAATACGTCGTAAAGTGACGTGTTCCGGGAACATCTAACTCCGGGAACGAGTTCGGTCGGCGAAGCCTCTTGCGAAAACCGCTAAATGAAATTCGGCACGTTGGAAACTAACGATAATAACCTGTTACTTTGTGCAACCGCGTGCACGGTGGAACGCACGCGGCCGAAATGGCAAAGTGAAAGAGTGCACGGTCACAGGTGAACTCCATTTGCCGCACCGACGGAAACGCTGATGCGGCATAAACTGTCCCGACGGCTACGAAATAAAGGTGCACCCTGCCGGGTGGTGGCCAGCAGGGGCAGGGAAATAGGCGCGGGATTGATTCGAATTGCCAAAACGGTCGGCTGGCTGCGACAAGGCGGTGGCCATTTTTGAACGGCGAACCTTCGCTATAAGCTCGACCACAAATGGCTATTTACCTCTTCTGGCCCGCTCGTTGACGTTCTCTCGTGTCCCTGTTCCACTCGTCGGCCATCCAGTTGCTCCTACCCACCCTTCTCCTCTCCTCTCCTCTCCGCGCCTCTCTTCGCCTCTCTTCGCCACTCCTCTCTTCGCCACTGCTCGTCGTCCACTCCCGTCGTGTCCCATCCTTGCTCTGTCGCCCCGTTTTCACCCGACAACACCACCCTCCCCCCGTAGCCTCGGTCTCACCCCTATCTCTTGGCGCGCGGTGCCTGTACAGCACCGGTGGAGCGGCAGTTTCGCCCGACAATGTCTATTGGAAGATTTATTCCAATATTTTCAATTAAAGTTAGACAAAGCCGTGTTTGATAACGCCTGCGTGTTTCGCCGCTCTAGTTGCGGAGGTAAAAATAATGTAGTACGCGCGAATGATCAGGAGTGGTTTTCAGCGGCGCCGCTCCGCAGTCGAGCCACCACCGGACGAGTGTTCCAAGGGGGTGGGCGCGGCGTGTATGCAGAATCCGAGAGGATATGGGAGAAAGGGACGACGTCGCGAATGGAGAGAAAAGTTCGATTTACCGAAAATGCGTTAGCTCCGTGTTCTGATATCGAGGCACGCGGATCTTCCACTTCCAGCGACACGATTAGGTTCTTTGTCGGAGTTAATGGTCGCTTCGCAGCCGACAATGACGAATATCCCTGGAATCGATAAACGAGATCGGTCCTTTCCTAGCTCGCGATTAATTCACGGGGGTAGCTCGAACGAATGACGACGCGGTTACGCAACGTAAGCGACTGGACATCGTAATTAACGGCGTCACAGCGACCGATAATTCATTACGTAACGAGAATCCGAGTTGTTCGTAACGAGGCGAAATCGGTGGGTGCGCCAGTTTCGGCGAAATTTCGCCACGCCGCGGGGAACGGGCAATGGGCGTTTCGTTTTTCCTTCGCAAATCCTGGAAACCTTCGCGGTCCCCACCTCGGCCACGTTCTTATGCAAATTTACGAAAGGGTACGGTGCGCGGCCTCGCATCGTGCGCGGCGAATGATAATTAGATGCCTAGCGGAATACCCGCAAACGTCACGTGGCTGTCATGAGAGCTGTCATTGCCTCCTGTTGGCATACACGTGCGTGTGCGAGAAAACGAGCGACCGGAGGGCAAGAGAGAGGGTTCGAATGAGAGAGAGAAAGAGAAAGAGAGAGAGAGAGAGAGAGAGAGAGAGAGAGAGAGAGAAAGAGGAGAAGAGGTATGCACGTATCGGACGGCACACTGATTCGCTCGGACAGTTCGATCACTGGCTCGTATACTTGCGACAAGTCCGGAACACGTAGCCCCGGGGAGCGGCGGTTGAAGGCGGTGAAAATGGAATTTGAGTGGCATCCGGGGGATCCTGTCTGTATTTACGGTTTGATATCAACTTTTGTTTCTGGCCCCGATAGCCCGACGTGCCGCGTTCCCGGTTTGCGCCACTGCGTTCAGCTTTATGGAATTTTCCCCGAATTATGGGTTTATGGAATTAGAGATCTATCAATTAACGGCTGTTCACGCGGACGAAATTGAATGTCACGAGCTTTACGAATTCGTATAAATGCAATTTCCGTCTCGATCCGTGTCCACGTGCCGATTAATTATACCGGGAATCAAGCGCGGGAACGTTGAACGCTGGCGGAGAACCGCGTTATCTTTCGGTCAACTTTTTCCTAACCTTTTCCACTCTCTCCCTCTCTCTTTTCCTTTTCCTTTCCATTTCCAGTCTTTGTTCTCGAACGTGATTTTTCAGCGAACGGAGAGCGTCAGATGAGAGTGACACAGGCTAGCAGTCGGTTGGAGCGAGTTATTCTTATCCCGCGAGCCGTTGCCGAAGGTTGCAGGTGCACGCATGCACTCGCGAGAGGACGAGAATCGATCCTAGCCTGGAATACAACGCGCGGCGGGTAGGATGACCCCTAATAACGCGAAACACGGTGTACCTGACGAGGCGGAGGGAAAAGGGAATCGGGACGTCTGATGCCGAGGGCAGGCGAAGGGGTTGAGGGGTTAGCTGGGGGTTGCTGGGGGGTTGGGAACGGTGAAAAGAAAAGAGTCTAGGTGGGAGGTATCGGGTAATCGAAGGACACAAATGGCCCGACCAAGTAATAGGGTCGCAACTCGCTGGCCCAGGTATCGTGCCAAGGAGACCTGTAGCGATCGAACGTGGAACAATCGAAACTCGTGACTCCGACGCCACTACCTTCCGATTCGCGATCAAATTAATCGCTCGTTTTTTTCCACGACCAGCTATCCGTGGACTCCCTCACGCTCGCGAGGGGCGATTTTTCAACGCTTTTCCGAGTGTCATTCGCAACGCCCTATTTGACCGGCGTGTCGGCATCAAAAATGATTTTCGCAACGACCGGAGTCGATTTCACGCGAACAACTGGTCGACGATCGGGCTACAAATTTGCGTTTTGATAACGCTCGGACTTCGGTGGTGTCAGAGTCGAAATGGAAACGAGGATGAGAGGGGAAGAGAGAGGGAGCTAGTGAAAAAGAGGAGGGAAAATAGACGAAAAACTAAATGGAAGATAAAAAATACGGAAAATTGAAAAAGCGCGAGTATATAAACTCGCGAGCGAGAAATAGACCGGCAGACATTTAAAGGGTAAATACGCTTGGAAGGG